AGAGATGGCTCAGTGGTAAGAGCACTGGCAATTCTTCAAGAGGACCTGGATTCAATTCCCAGAACCCACATGGCAGCGCACAACTGTCTATAACTCCAGTTCCAGTATCTAATACCTTGTTCTGGCCTTCACAGTACACACACACACACACACATGCAAAATATACTTATAAATAAAATAAAAATAATAAATTTTTTAAAATGTCATTAAAATCACATATATAGTAGTATATAATTAATACATGTTTGTGTATATACATATATACATACTACATGTTGCACACATAAAACTTGAAAGTAGTACATGAAGAGACACACAAAACAAACAAATGTTGTACAATTACATTCGTATGAAATGGCTAGAACACATAAATCCAGAGTGAAGGTACAGTAGCAGCTACCAGGCTGGAGGAGGGGAAGACAGGAAGCCACTACTATTGAGTGTAGAGTTCCTTTTGCCACGATGCAAATGTTCAAGAATAATGACAATGGCGGCTACCCCTGAGAAGATATTGAAAAACACTGAAGTATATATTTCAAAGGGGTAAATTCAATAGTATCTAAACCATATCAATAAAGTTATTAAAAATTAATTTCAGCTTGTTTTTAAATGGGGCGTTTAGAAAGTTCTCAATCATATGATATTTCTGCAGGATAGCACTGACTACCATTTGCTGCATCTACTGTCGTGTGTGTGTGTGTGTGTGTGTGTGTGTGTGTGTGTGTGTGTGTGTACATATGTCTGTGAATGCAGGCATACACCATCACATTCAAGAGGAGGTCAGAGGGCATCTTCAGGGCTGCTCTACCCTTCCACTTTGCTGCTTACCACTTCATAGGCCAGGGTAGCTGGCCTGGGAGCTCCTAGGCAGTCTCCTGTCTTAGCTCCCCATCTTCCCACTGGAGCACCAAGATTACAGACTTGTGCTACTGCACCCAGCTGTAAATAGATTCTGGTGACCCACACTCAAGTCTTCATGATTGCACAGCAAGTGCTCTACTCACTAAGCCATCTTCCCAGACCCCGAACTTAGTGTCTTGAGGCAAATCACATCTATTTGGAACTGTTTGTAACACAGTTCTCATTATTAGCAATGTGCATATGAGATGCATTTCTAGCTGTCCTAGTTTATAAAATCTTATAACATGCATGAAGACAAACAGATTTTCTGCCAGCATTAATCCCCTCAAACTGATTTTTAGCAGAAGAACTTATTTTCAACTCAAGTTCTACCACTCCCTGGGTTTTCAAGGGCCTACCTAGTTTTTCATTATGGGTGAGGATAAATGGAACAGTCTAGAAACAGGAAGACAGAATAAGCTAAACCTGGGATGTCCTCACCTCAACAGCCTGGGGGACCACACATCTGCGAGGGCCGTGCGGCACACCTAACTGGCCAAAGGCATTGGATCCACATGACAGAACTTGACCTATTTCTGCAAAATATAAGTATTCAGATTACAAATCTAAGAAGCGAGACACCTGTGACTAACAGGGAAATAGGGATGAGAGGAGGCAACAGGGGTTCTATGCCTCAAAGCCTCCTGGCCACTCCCCTTCTTTTATTCCTCACACTAAAGATTATCTGCCATTCTGCATCCTTAATGGTGACCTGTGCAGAACACTTAGCTCAGGGCCTAGTATTGGACTGTGAAAATACTTACTCCTACTTCATGTTTCTACCTCACTTCCCTGTCTCCATTCGACAAATTCCGTGCAGTGTGGCCTTTATCCTCCCTGCCCATGCCCATACACTCACCTGAAGAGTCTAGGGAAAAGGACAAGACATGTGTGACCTGGCAGAGTAAAGTTTCCCTTGTGAAACAAGTCTAGAGTTTGGAAAGCAAATCTGAACCAGAGGAATGTTAGAACCACTTGGCTTCATAATGAACCCTGCCCTCCAACTTAACCTATATCCATAAAATTCTGATATCTGATTTCCAACTCTGACAGCTTTGTGCCTTTCTCACAACTGGCTGTAATGTGTTTGGAAACAATGCTTCCTTCTGCCTCTTATGACCCATAGCAAAGTGATAGCTAGCATTGAAATTCTTCATATGTAAGGAACTTTTTTTTCAGAGCTAATCTAGCCAGGGCCTCACACAAGCTCAGCAAGCTGCCTTACCCAGCCCATCTGGAGTCTGATAATCACTGCCAAACTGGATATATATGGAACTCCTCTGCAGAAGAGAAATGGTGACAGCTGAGGAAGGCTGATACAGGGACAACAGTTCATGAGTCAGACAACAAGGGCTATTCTGGAGCAGGAACCACTGGGCATTGCAACAAAGGAAAGTACAGGGAGTATGACAATTAAGATGAAGGCAGCAGACACAGGAAAGGAGCCTCTGTAGAAGGTGATGTGCAAAAAAATCTTGGGACTTTGACTACACATCTAGGAATACACAAGCACTGAGAGGCAGAAACTATAGGTGGCCCCTTAGACACAGACTGGTCAGCTAGAAAGGACAAAGTTGAACAGAGAAATCAATTAACAGAGTAACAATACTACCTGCTTCCAAAAGAATTATTCTAAAAAATGCTTTAGTCATATCTCATTCTGCTCCCTGTCTTCAAGGAGACCAGATGTTTTTAAAGGGAGACAGAGAAATAACGCAGTGGTAGAACCCATGCCTAGCACATGTGAAGCCCTTGGAGTAATTAATCCTCAGCAATGTCACCAAGAAAGCCCCTTGATAAGAAAGACCTACTCCTATTGCTATGAAATCCCTACTCCCTTGCAATTATCTAGTGCTAGCCAGCTTTACCTCAACTTGACACAAGCAGTGCTAACCAGCTTTACCTCAACTTGACACAAGCTAGAGTCATTGGAGAGGAGAGAGCCTCAACTGAAAAAAAATGCCTCCATAAGATCTGGCTATAGGGCATTTTCTTCATCAGTTATTGATGGGAGAGGTCCTACTCCATTGTGGGTGGTGCCATCCCTGGGCTCTATAAGAAAGAGACTAAGCAAGCCATGGGGACCAAGCCAGTAAGCAGCACTCCTCCATGGCCTCTGCATCAGCTCCTGACTCCAAGCTCCTGCCCTGCTTGAGTTCCTGTCCTGACTTCCTTTAGTGATGAACAGTGATGTGGAAGCAGAAGCCAAATAAACCCTTTCCTCCCCAAGATGCTTTTGGTCATGGTGTTTCCTCACAGCAATAGAAACCCTAACTAAGACACCTAGCACATTACCCATAATAACCCTTAATGGCACTCCTGGCCATTTGACCAGGCACATAGCTCTCATGAACTTTTGGGACTAGCAATGACCATCGAAGGAGACCTAGTCCATCCCCTAGTCTCTGACAAGCATATTCCAGCCTGATCTCCTTTACAGTTAAAATTCTCCTTGCAAAGGTACCCTGCAATTTCCCTACATAGCCATAAAGAATGCTTACAGGTTTGGGGGTTTGACTGTCTTGCTTTTCTTCAAAAGTATGAGGCTTTTATTTAACCAGGCCCCCTCCCCCACTACACTGCTATCACCCAAAGTGTTGGTGGTGATATT